CATCTCAATAAAAGCCTGCAACAACTGGTACGCAAGTTTACGTGGCACATTCATGATTGGAAAACCGCTGTGCGGAACCACTCTTTTATCACAGAGTTAGGGTGTGGCATCACTGTCCACTGTGGGGTAATCAGTTGAAGCTCCTCGTTGTCATTTCGTTATGTTTCTAAAGCAACGTGACCACTATAGCATGTAGTCTACTGTTTCGTTCCGACGATAAGATACTCGTTTATCTACATCAGAAGGATGAAAAGTGACTGAACAACTGACATTAGAACTAGGAACCATTCAAATGAGTCCGACGTTTTAATGGCTGAACAAACGATCCTAATCATTATTTCGTAATTTAGTACAATCACACGCTACACAATCAACTAGAGCCAGGTTTCCAAGTAAGGAAGGAAATTTTTTAACCGTTGAGATGGTGACTGCTCTTACGCTTCGCTGATCCGTGCCAAGTGTAGCCTCTTCTTCTCATAGACCTTATGGCGTGGACAGATCTCCAATCAGATTCATGACCTGTTGATCAGCCATCAGTCCAATTTTTAAAGGCAATGTCCACAGTTATGTATCAACTATACAGCGTGTGGTCTCTTGATCTTTTCCAAAAAACTGGCACTTAGTCATCAGCCCGAAGAAGACGAAACAGAACTGACAAAACCTTGCCCAAACTCAGAAACTCTTGATTATAAGTTCAAACACTCTATCGGCTGAGCAAGCCCGGTCAAGCCTGGCGCGACATGATGCTCTTGTTCTGACGTAGTGGTGGCTGAGGATAAAATTTTTTATTTCTTATTTTCACACGGTATAAAAATATAGACTCTACCGTACAATACATTAGAACAAGGTGAAGGGAGTGGCTAAACGGTGAATTATACTAGAAAAATAAGAACAAACATCTCAATGACAGCAGCCAGTTTGGTATCCGTCATATTGCAAAAGTGACGAGCAGAAGCGTAAACGATACTATTTTGTATTTTGTTGCTAAAGAGGTCCAGCTCGTTTAAATTTTATTCGATTTCAACTGACCAGGTCTTGGTTTTTTACCACAACCGTCAACATTTGTAATCTTTCAATCACGTCACCCATGTGATCCTCTGGTCAAATAACGGCACTTAATTTCGATCAGCTTTTCTTGTACTAGAGCTGTTTTATGAAGTGGTTCCATTCGTTCATTCATTCGAACATTGTCATTCCAGGAAACGAAGGCATTCCGTGATTAATAGCTGCCATGCCGCGGGCGATTAAACCGGCAGGTAGCTCTCGAGGAACGGTATAAAGTAAAACTATACGTGGGTGCTTCTGTTTTCTCCATGAACCAGCAAATCGTCTTTACGATGAAGCTTATCCGGTGTCTAACGTTTTCACAAAGTGTCTTTGCTGTTAGCAGTGACAGGGAAACACTTGTGACGAGTCTAAATTATTCTTAACAATACAAAACATGACTGTCATAGAGCTGCGTAGATACCAAGCCCCTTTACGCTGACCTTGTTAAGGTACCGTCCGATCCAGGTTGCCAAAGCAGCAGCTTCAAGAGATTTCCAACGGTATTGATCCTCAAATCCAGATATCAATATAAACTATGAGAAGCCGTCAGTGAAAACATATTTAAATAAAATATGTATTTTTGACCAGAAGAAAAACCAAAACGGAAATGACAATTCATAAATACATTAAGCGAATTCAACGATGCGGAAAAGCTCTATGCACTGGATTTAAGAGCGCGAGAGTAAATGTACATATTATTCTAGCCAGAGTTCGATTATAGCAACTATTTTCATATAATAGGCTTGAACTGAT